GAACGTAGTGAACTTGTCGGCTTACTGCTTCTTTCCAGAGTCCGCATGTTCTTCTTTCTCTACACTTCGCCCGTTTTTCTGCCTGTCGATCTCGGTAATTTCAAGTCATAGAAAACTGGGACAAAAAAGAGAATAAAAAACTCACACCGAATACGACACATCCGAGGTTATTTTTGCGTTATCCTTTTTAGTTTTCACAGGTATATGCCCTAAACAGGGTCACTCAAAATTTGGGACTTAGAAACTTTCCACGATCGAGATAATTAAGACCTGATTAACTATAGTGTGGAAGAGAAGAAGGAATGTTATACATAGATATAGAGAACGCTTGCCATCAATAGCATGAGTGCAGTAGGGACTTATTAAGATAATTAAAAGTCTTGCTATACACTATAGAGGTTGATCATTAGTTGCATTGTATGTCGCTCCTCATGGCTATAAGTTCAGTTATATCGGTCAAAATATACATTTCTTCTCTATCTGTCTGACTAACTCGATTTCATCTCTAATTTTGGGAGTGTTCCCTTCTTGCTGACTAGTGCATAAAACTACAATTTAACTGAAAAATACATTCCAGCAGGTGTATTCTGTTATTTTCTTGCCAAGGGCAAATGCCAGGAGCAAACGCCGTTCCAACCAACTGTACGACTTACCTGATCCTCGATTGAATCGGATTTAGAGCTGTAAGCCGATGCGCCCATCGGCGGTGGCTGTAATTTTGCGACGTTTCTTTTCAAAAGTTGCTTATTTTCGGAAAATGATGACAGAAATTTTTCTAATAAGAAACTATATGAGAACATCCGGAAAACTGGTTCTGCGTGCGCAAAATTCTCGACAATGAAGTATCTATCAGAGACCGAAGCCGGATCGTATACACGAATAATTCGATTCGGCTCAGACGAACCGAATCGATTTTGAATTGAATTTTGTCGTTTTCGAATCGAACCAAATCGGATAGAGATTTTTAAAAAGTAAGTCAAACGAAGATATCAGTATTCGCTTCATTTTTCGAAACATATAAATAAATAAAAAGAACAAACTAATTCTATTAATACACTACTGTTAGACGCAATTGATAATTAAACACATAAGCTATACACATAAAAAAGTAGCTCTTCATACAGACGAGCCACTTCCGTTAATTGTAATCATTAGCAATGTTACACGTGGACGAGTACTACAGAAATGTATAACACAATGGATTTACTGCTTACTAAGTGTAATTTTTCATGAGACTTAAACGTATACGTATTCACTTAACAATCTATTACCGTAATAATTTCAATGCTAGACAGAAATGCTACTGTATAATAATATGCATACATCGAAGAAAGATGTGTTCCATTTCAATAGGATACACACTATTAAGTGATTTTTGCCTTTTTTGTGTACTCAAAAAGTTGGTACACTAGAATCGGTCAGTGTGTCCGGCCGGCCGTCCGTTTACACGATAACTCTTCAACGGGTAATTCGATTGTGATGAAATTTTGCACGTCAATATCTCGGTCGAGAGAAGATGATGAGAATGATTGGTCAAGACCTTCCTGAGTTCTATCCAAAAATATGGTTATTTCCTGTGCTTTTCTATGGTAACATTGACCTATCCTGGCTTTGATAATAAAATTTTCTTTTATAATCAAATAAAAGCTCAACTATTCTATACCACTCGATAGAGAATTTCAAGGGCTGCAAAATGGTATATGAAACATTTGAAAAAAACATGTAATTTTGTACTCTAATATTGCGAATACTTTGCAAGATTTCAACAAACCCAAGAGCACTCACAAACAATTCACCTTATAGTGCGGACGCATCTTATTTTTCTCTTCACGTCTATACATTTACTTATACATATACGTACACTTATATATATTCATCCACGTTGCTCTATACTAAACAACAAATGGACTCCGATAATGATTCATCGAATCATCAAAGAGTTGACAATTCCATAATTGCAAACTCAACAATCGGAAATTACACACCTAGCAAACGTAAACGAGTCGAAAATATATCATTCGTGCAAAGACCACAAGTGATCACTCAACCAGGAATAGTATCTGATAATAATATACTAAGTCAACGATTTCCTTTTCCACCTGTGTCTGTGGATTTTGAAAATCATCCAAATTTATCGGATAGATTATTACTAAATGAACTAATCACATTTTGGAAAGGAAAACACAACAAAACTTTGAATATACGTTATGGCTTTAACAGATGTTTATTGATCTTTGCCAATGATGTGACAGCTTTTGAAGATTTGATTGATAATCATTTATGGCCGGATAGATTGAATAACGTTGAAATTAAGATAAAATACCCACACTCATATTTAGAATCGTACTCATTAGTCATTCAAAAATTCCATATTAATTGGGATATTAAATGAATTATTGCAAGATCTGCAGAAACGGTATCCGTCGCTAACAAAATTAACGCGGATATACGTCAAAGATAGCCAACCAGTAAATGCAGTTAGAGTGGATTTTAAATCATGTAATGAAGTGCAAACCATTTTGAATTCTGGTAGAATAGCAATAAATCAAATGACACATAATGTCACATCATATGTAAAACCGCTAAGAATCAATAAATGTATGAAATGTTTTCAACACAGTCATAAAACAAATGAATGTCAAAATGAACAGGTTTGCATCAGCTGCGGGGAGCAACACCCTTTAAACAATCAATACGATAGACAAATTAAATGTGTTAACTGTGGCAGACAAGATCACTTTGCAGGTCATCCTTCATGTCCGGTTGTTCAACGCTTGCGTAAGCAGATTAGTGACCAACAAAACATCCAGCGAGCTGAATTATTAGTCGAAAAATCACGGCAACGGCAGCAAGATTACGACTTTTTTTCAAATGAACACTTTCCAGTGGTAAACCACAATATGCTCAACATATCATCATTACAACAACATCATAAATAACGCAGGATTGTAGCGCGCAAATTTCTAATTAAAATGGAACGTCCCCCAGCTCTACACGACCTTTCTTTGTAAAGTTATAGAATTTATAAGAAAAGCCCTAAACGTTCATTGTCAGCTCAAAGCTATAGAAATAAGAAGAAAGCAATTTAGGGCTTTTGTTGTAAATTCTATAACTTTGCAAAGAAAGGTCGTGTAGAGCTGGGGGACGTTTATTTTAATCAGAAATTTGCGCGCTACAATCCTGACTTGTTAAGAAAGGCTTGTGTTATTTTCTGAGGTTTCTGAAAAACTAGTTTTCCAGAAGACTGGATCTTTGAAGAGCTATGGAGAAGTCCCATGGTCATATTCGGAAGCAGCATGGTCGATAACCTATAACCGACTAGATGTCGATCAAAAAGCTTTTAATCACCTCGAAAGGTTCCCTCGTAAGTATTTTTCTTCTTCGATTGTAAAATATGTCGGACAGCCAGGACCAAAATGCTCTACATCTCCAGCAGCATGACGCTAAAGTGTTGACAGTGGTATCTGCTTATCCCGCACAATTTGACGAATCATTTTACCTTCTTTAATGCTATTAATAGCATTCATAAGATCTCCTTTCGAGTATAGTTGTCTTACTGTCTTTTTTATGTAAGTTCGAGGCATCGTAAAAAGTTTGAGTGGTATCTTATGTTAGTGAGACACTGTCTTATGTAGGCAATCAAAAATAATGCCGTAAAGGTAGCCAATTACTCAGCATGACTAAAAACAACGCTCAGAATTACTAAGCTTTATAAACATCAATAATCATTTAGCCTAAAATGTCAACTATCAGACATTAAAAATAGCCGTAATGTACGTGACTCTATCTTGCAAAGACAATTTTCTATTGATATCATATTGTATGTGTCCTTCAGAGGAGACATATATCGGATAATTTGGTGTTATCTTCGTAGTTCTCACGATTTTCAGATGATTGTCTTTGCATTCGAAAGAGGAGATGCTTGTGTATGCCATAGACAGAAGATTTTATCAAAGTTTTTAGTCTCAAGATGTCATAATTAATTTTAAAACAAATTTAGCGCATAAAATATATTCAAATTAATATTCTATATAGTGTGAAGCCAATATGATAGCTTATCCACTGGGATAATGAGCTAATTTTCACATATGTGATAGATTTCAGCAGTCTGAAGAACTTTGTCACTTGGTCTAATAGCAACTTCGGCTTCTGAGAGACGGTACACGTTTGTCTCTGAGCATCCCGTGTATCGTGGGTATCCGTTCCACGTGGGTTTTCCCTTTTCCAATCATTTTCAATAACAAATTCTTTAATTTCAGGGCCACTATAGAAGAGAGTATAAAAAACTTTATCGACTCATGTATTTAAATCATTTGTCCAGGGTCTCTTTAAGCTGCTACCTTCGTTTCTTAACACTGCTTTCACCTATTCGATCTCGATCATTTGGTCTGACAATGAGTAAATGGAGTCTGAAAATTTGGTTTTATTGAGTATCACAGAGATTTTATTTGAAAAAAGAACAGACAATATTGAGATCTAAACTACGGAGAATTGAGACTACTGAAAATCTTTTTTGTGCATCTAGAAAAAAGAAAACATAACACACAACATTTTTTCGTTTATATTCGTTCTTCTTTTAACTAATTGAGAAGTAGTTGGAAAAAACCAAAGTACAGAAAAAAGGTATCGTCCCGATTCGTCGACAAATCGGACACTTCAAAGAATATACATCAAAGAATTTCAAAGGCGGGAGGGGCGGTGTGAGAGTGAGTGTCGACGAATCGGGACTGAATCCAGAAAAAAGGACAAAAAATTATTCACGACGCATAGCGAGAGCATAAAAAAGATCGACTACTATCACTAGTGAAGTACAAACACGTTAGACATAGAAGAACATATATTTTTCTTGCATTACCGTTTATATTGCTACTTGTAAAAACGAAAGAAAGCAAACTGTCTGCGAAAGTGATTCTATAGGACTAAGATATTCGCATATGTTGTAAATAATAACGATGATGTTTAACGATTAATAATAAAAGTCCCCATAAACAACATGCATACTAAATCAACGAACTTGTAAAATATGTTACAACTAATTGTCCGATAATACTACACATTGATGCACAGAGAGGATCATTTTCATTAACAATAGTTCTTTTACCTAAAGTAAAAAAGAAATCTTATGGTACTGACTGTGAAAGCAACAAAGATAAAAAAAGAACAGATTTTATTAAAAGTAGATACATCAAAAATACTCAGCTAGTGAATCTAGTAAATGAGATGCAAACACAAAGCTCACTTACCTAGATTGACTAATAAATCATTAAGTTCAGATTTATATGATACTTGACGTTTAATTGACTCTGCCAAATGTTCGATCAAAACAATTGACTTTGATTCAAATACAAGTTCTGTAAAGAATTTTTTTAATTTTAATATTTCCTGATCATTTGTACGTTCAAAATTTTTCCAGTATTTATCACAAAATAGTTTCATATCAATTTTATTTTTTATTAATAAATCAAGAGTGTAACGGATTAAATTGGTAGTTGCGGTGGTTGGTGATGCACCGGAAAATGTTGTAATTGCCGCAGAAGTTATTGACGTCAATAATTGTTCTGTTTCTAAATCATTGACTTTTAATGTATTTTCACCCAAACCAATTAATACCTGAAGCTGTTGTTCAATTGTAAGAGGAAGTTTTTCAAGCAATTCAGATTGAATTTTCACTAATGAATGATGCAGCTGTTCATTTTCCTTAACAAGTTTGTCATTCATTTTTGTAAGCTGGCTTATTTTATTCTAAATGAAAAAAGAAAAGAATTCTTAGAGCTTAGCGTAAAACAAGCTTAGAGGTTGTCATAAAAGTATCATTTGAACTCCACATTGTCAGTTGTTGTCATTGTTTAACACTCACAACGAATTGTATGGATAAAACGGATAGAAAATTTTAGCTTTTTCTCCTTTGACAGTTTGTGTGAAAAGGAAACTGAAAATGAGAGAGGCAATAGGTTGTATTTCTTCTTTATTTACCTCTTATTCAGTGGCAGAAAACGATGATGAGAAATGAAGGAGGAGAATACGTCTATATATATATGTACATTTATGCATATTCTGCGAGCGGTGAAATTTTCATTTGCATAGAGTCGACTATGTACTATTCGAAAATTTTTCTCTCCATCCTTTCGTCTAACTTTAGAAGATAGGTAAAAGATCTATTTTTGTTTCTCTTTTTCATTCCACTTCGAGCTGGTTTTTTTCGTTCTTTCTGCGTTTGTGCATTAGAAAGCACAATCTATAGTTCAACAGAATGATTCATATTTCTGTAATAAGAATTTACGGCTCTTGATTTTTGTTTCAAATAGAATAATCGAGCCGTATCAAACAAGACATAATCTACTTCTTTTATTCATCTTGCATATGCTGCGCATTTCTGCTGTGACGAAAACAACAGAACGACTGTATTGTATATATAGATTGTATAAGACAGCATTGCGATGTCTTGATTGTATTCGTGCTCGCACGATGTTTGCTCGCTGTTTAGCAAGCTGTACAGTAAACGACCCGTCGGGTGATAGATGTTCCATTGCGTATCGTTTTGCTTGTTTCAACTGGAACCATCCCAGAGTGATTTCATTAAGTTGATCAAGAGTTAAAACAGGAAAGTCACGAATAGCAGTACTAGCATCGATGCGCATCCAATTCAGATTATTCGTACTTTCAACTGTCAGTTTGTCGACAAACTTCTTCAATTTATTGCTTTCACTGACGAGGCTAAGAGTCAGCAAGCATGTCAGCAAGCATGTCGTCATTTGATACATCTCGAACGAAAAGGGGCCTGAAAGCATTGATCAATGCGCACACGATAGAGAATAGATCGCCTGCACTCGGTATCATCGAATTCGGTAAAACGTGATCAAAAAAACGCCATGTTTAGATTCTACCATTGGCTGATTCCACTACCCAACGTATCTTTGTAACAAATCGCGTTTGATTTGCTTCATTGGTAGTAAATTGTTTTTCTGCTTTGCTCAAAAAGGCAGGCATGTGCGTTTTATATCCAAATCTATTTAAAAGCGGCAAACAATCTCGAAATCCGCGATCGACAATGAGTACGTCATTTGGCTTTAGCCAGTCTGTTACACCTTCTCGATTATTCATCATGATGTGTTTAGTCATAGACGCGTCATTATTCTGGTAGTCTGCTAGATATGGTCCTATAGCTGAAATGATATAACCATCGCTAGCAACAACCATCATTGGTTTGATCAACGGTCGACCTTTGTGTAGACAGAATGTTCTTCTTTGAACAATATTGTTCGCTGATTTCTGCACGTAGATGTAAGTCCCATCAAGTATTAGAATCGCCGCATCATCGCCAGGATTTGTAAAAAGACGCTTAGCCAATGGTCGAGTGTGTTTTGTAATAACATCTTGTCTAGATATGTGCTCGAAATCCAAATGTTTAGGAACGAAGTGAGCCATAAAAGTCTTACGAGCACTCTCTACAATACGACTAACAGCTTTCTTATTTGGTAGTGAGAACAGTGTGGCTAGAACTACATTGCTTAGTCCTAAACGAAGTTTTATCAATAAACACCCTATTGCTTGTTTCACCGAACGTAATTCTGATTGCCGAAGACTGGTGGGAGGAATATCGGAACATACATCAAGAAAAATATTTTTCGTAAGGCCTGTTAAAATGAAACATTGTTCTTCTGTCAAACGATCAAAGTCAATTGGAGACACCGCCGATTAGCCTCATCCAACATCGATTGGAGTTGTCGGTAAGCGATATCGAGATCATCGAGTGAATGTACTAACTCATCTCGACTAACTATATTCGTGTTTGATTTATTTTTCTTGATCGAAGCAATAGCGTTTGCTTTGAATTGATTTTTGTCTAAATGTTTCTCACAGCAAGTGCTTCCCTTTTGAATAACGATACGGTATGTAAGTAACGTTTCTGCACGGACAATTTCATTAATTAACCAAGAACGCGAATTGGTTTTGGAATAGTCTGTGTTACATACAAAGCAGTAGCGTCTCGAAAATGGAACACGAATAAGGGGCATTTCAATCGTATCGTTATTTTGAGATGGTGTGTTACCATCTGACGAGATCGAATGAAGAGCACGTCGTTTAGCTGGTGAACCAATGTTTATGTAAGATGCTGTTGTTGTAGTTGTTGTTGTATCCATCATTGTATACGAATCACAGACTTTGACTGGATCAGTCTGCACAGCAATGTCCACCTTTTCGGAAATTTCCATGAGCTTTTTATCAACTAAACTTGTTTGTCGATACATGTGCATATAGCATTGCTGATCCACAAAGAGTTTCACCAATTTTTGTTCAAAAATAATAAATCTATACCATTTCTGATCGAAAATAAATCTGCACCAATTTTTTGACATATCAATTGAATGAACACGTTCGCCCTTTTGAAAACGCCTTCCACAAGACACACAATTTTTCGAAAGATCTTCATAAGATGTCATAATAATAATATGGAATCAAATGTTTCACAATAATTGAATTGAGTGCGTAGTTAAAACACAGCTTTAATTGAGTATATTCAACTCACTCTCGTTGTGTATAGTTGTTGTATTGGTCACTTTTTTTTTGTTCTGTGTATTTGTTGTATCGGTCACATTTTTTTGTTCGGTATAGTTGTTATATCGGTCAATATTTTCGTTCTGCGCTTGATAGATCAACTTTTTGTTCTACACAGTGTTTATATGAATCACTTTTCTATGCAGTAACTCAATGTGGGAAGCTAAGACAGTTGTTATTCAAATTTAAGCCGAAGATCGATGAAAAATGATCTATGAATGTTTGCACAAGCAACAAAAATAAGCAATTTTTACCAATATATTGCATTTTTCGATCTGATGCCGGACTTTTTGAATCTTTTCAAGTTTATATCTGGATAGAGCATGAAAAACTGCATCGAATTGATATAGTCTCACTTAAGTTCAAAAATGTTCAGAGAAATATTGGAAAAGAGCGTATAGGCTTCATCATCATCATCATTGGTGTTCTGCCCGAGGGCAGGTTCTAGGCACCCATGTTCTCCATTTCTGTCTTTCCATAGCTCTTCGTTTGATGTCCGCATACGAGTCCTCGTTTATAATATCATCCAATAAC